CCACTCAGCCGGGATCATCCACCGGGTAGGTGCGACCGCAGGGTGAGGGTCGGGTCCAGCAGGGCTCCGTCCCGGCCTCCTGTGCTCACGCTCCGCGTGACCTGCAGGACCTGAAGCCCAGCAACGTGGCTGTGAACGAGGACTGTGAGCTCAGGGTGAGGCGCGCGGGCAGAGGTGGGCGGGGTGGTGGTGGAGCCCGTGACGAGCTTGAGAACACCTCGTGGTCGCCCCAGATCCTGGACTTCGGGCTGGCGCGCCAGGCAGACGAGGAGATGACCGGCTACGTGGCCACGCGCTGGTACCGGGCACCTGAGATCATGCTAAACTGGATGCATTACAACCAGACAGGTGCAGGGGGAAGGCCTGGGGGGACGAAGGCCGAGGGCCTCGTCTGGCCCTGGACTGGCTCTGCATGCCAGGTCTTGGGGGGCGGGCAAGGTCCCCAAGAATGTGGGACCTACATTCAAAGGCAGCCCTTCAGAGGCCGCTAGAGCATGACGGGCGCTGGCCTCCTCTGGCCCTGCAGCTACAGGCCTCCCCCCGCCCAGAGGATTGGGTATGGCGGAGGAGGGGGTCTGCGCGTCTCGTGACCTGGATGTGACTGTGGGTCTCCTGGAGGAGGGACGTGGGGTGGGCACACTGATGGAGGCCCCCTCGCCCTCAAACAGTGGACATCTGGTCCGTGGGCTGCATCATGGCTGAGCTGCTCCAGGGCAAGGCCCTCTTTCCAGGAAGCGACTGTATCCTTGGCCCAGGTTGGGGAGCAGGGTCAAACAGGGCCCCTCTTGTAGGGTAGAGACCAGCGCTGGCCCCTTCTGGCAGGTCTTGCCTCTTCTGCCCCCCATGCCATGCTACTTTGGGCTGGCCATCCTCAGCTCTAGGAGAGCGGGCTCTGGGCAGCGCCCCAAAGTTTTGGGTCTGGGGGCCCAAGAGAGGTCCTTGGCTGGCCCGTGGGTGTTTCCTGAGTGATGCAGACATTGACCAGCTAAAGCGCATCATGGAAGTGGTGGGCACACCCAGCCCCGAGGTTCTGGCAAAGATCTCCTCGGAACACGTGAGTTGGTGCCTGCCAGCCGGCAGCTCCCTCTGCTGGTCAAGTCCCCAGGCTCTCTGGGGAGAGGGTGGTGTGGAAATGTGGGGACAATATGGGGAACATGGGATGTGGTGGGATAGAGACTACGTCAGGTGCCCAATCCCTGCAGGGGAAACAGGAGAAGGGGGAAGATGTTCCTGACACCAGGGACAGTGAGTGCAAAATCATGACTCCAGCAAGCAGTGCCTGGCCAGGGCGGTGGGGTTGGGCTGGGTGGAGGGAGCGTACTTGGACCCAGCTCCTGCAGGCGTTAGGGGCCAAGTGAGGAGCTAGTCACCGGACCCTACGTGGAAGGAGTCACTGGTCTGCCTGTGCCCTTGTCCTAGCCTGTTGGAGTGAATTGAGTCTGGGGGCTTGCCAAGAGAAGCCCCAGTTTGGGGCCAGGGAGGCGGAGAGTGAGCAGCCTCCCCAGGTGTTCTCGTGTGCCCTCCAGGCCCGGACGTACATCCAGTCCCTGCCCCCCATGCCCCAGAAGGACCTGAGCAGCATCTTCCATGGAGCCAACCCCCTGGGTGAGGACTGCCCTGGGGCTAGACTGGGCTCCATATCTGGCCCTGGATGCAGAGCTAACCCTCCCTCCCTGCCACTGGCTCCCCTGCAGCCATAGACCTCCTTGGAAGGATGCTGGTGCTGGACAGTGACCAGAGGGTCAGTGCTGCCGAGGCACTGGCCCACGCCTACTTCAGCCAGTACCACGACCCTGAGGATGAGCCAGAGGCCGAGCCGTATGATGAGAGCGTTGAAGCTAAGGAGCGCACCCTGGAGGAGTGGAAGGGTGGGCATGGCAGTGGCTGCGGGTGGGTCCAAGGGGCCTGCAGGCTCCATTTCCCCAGAGGCAGGAAATGCCCCAGTTCCTCTCCAGACTGGTCAGGTGTGGAAGGGCGTTCGGGTGTCCAGCACAGACTAGGGGTGGGTGGGGTGGGGGACTGGCACAGGGCGGGTTCTGGCTCCCAGACTCTGTGCTGAGGCTGCTGTCACAGGGTGGTGGGCCTGGGCTGGGTGGCAGGTGCCAGACAAGCAGGTGCGGGGCTGGGCTGTGGGAGGCACAGGCTCACCCTTTCCCTTCACCTCCTAGAGCTCACCTACCAGGAAGTCCTCAGCTTCAAGCCCCCAGAGCCACCGAAGCCGCCTGGCAGCCTGGAGATTGAGCAGTGAGGTGCCACCCAGCAGCCCCTAAGAGCCTGTGGAGGGGCTTGGGCCTGCACCCTTCCACAGCTGGTCCGATTTCCTCAAGAGGCACCTCCCACACTCCTATGGTCACTGACTCCTGGCCTAGGACCCCTCGCCTTCAGGATAATCTACACACATGTATGCATGCACAAACATGTGTGTACATGTGCTTGCCATGTGTAGGAGTCTGGGCACAAGTGTCCCTGGGACTACCTTGGTCCTCCTGCTCCCTTCTGGCTACTGCGCTCTCCATTGGGACCTGACTGTGGGGTCCTGGATGCCAAAAGGGCTCCCCTGCGGAGTTCCCCTGTCTGTCCCAGGCCGACCCATTGGGGAGCGTCAACCTTGGGGTCTCTTCTGTCCCAGGGCTCTCTGGAGGGCACGCTGGGGCCGGGACCCTGGGAGACTCAAAGGGAGAGGTCTCAGTGGTTAGAGCTGCTCAGCCTGGAAGTAGGGGGCTGTCCTGGTCAGTGCTGAGACCCACAGGTCTAAGAGGAGAGGCAGAGCCAGTGTGCCACCAGGCTGGGCACGGACAACCACCAGGTGTCAAATGAGAAAAGCTGCCTGGAGCCTTGTGTTCGCCCGTGGGTGTGTGTGGGCACATGTGGATGAGCGTGCACTCCTCGTGTTCATATGTCAGGGCACATGTGATGTGGTGCATGTGAATCTGTGGGCGCCTAAGGGCCAGCAGCCATGCCTGGCAAGAAGCTGGCGCTGGGGCGGGCGTGCTGTTGCCTTCCCTCTCCTCAGTTCCTCATGCCGTGAGGGGTGTTTCAGACTGGGGGCTCCAGTGGGCGAAAGGGCAGCCACATGAGCGCCAGCAGAGGCTTTCTCCTCGGATATGTGACCCGCAGCAGGCTCCTGAGGCTGGGGGTGACTGGGTGGTTTGGCCTTGAGGACGCTAAGGCAGGCAGCACACGCAGGTGTGGACTTGGACTTGGACACTTGTGCGCCGCACCCTGGCCTGCTCTCTACCTCTGCCCACCGTTGTGGCCCTGCAGCCGGAGATCTGAGGTGCTCTGGTCTGCGGGTCAGTCCTCTTTCTTTGTCCCAGGATGGAGCTGATCCAGTAACCTCAGAGACGGGACCCTGCCCAGAGCTGAGTTGGGGGTATGGCTCTGCCCTGGAAAGGGGGTGACCTCTTGCCTCGAGGGGCCCAGGGAAGCCTGGGTGTCAAGTGCCTGCACCAGGGGTGCACAATAAAGGGGGTTCTCTCGCTCGGCTCATATCCAAAGGCCACTCCAGGCCCTGCTGCCCCCGCCATCCCCACTGCTGGGCATGGGGGGAGTGTCTGGGTCACCCTGCATCGCTCACCTCTAGCTGGCCAGATCCCTCAGGCCCCCAGTCAGACCAGTGGCCACCTTCTGGCCCCCTCCCTGCTCCCTGGAGGGTCTGAGCCCAGGGGGACCAGGGGAGGACACAGCTGATTGGTGGGCTCTGAGGGCACAGGGTGGGACGGCCACCCAGATGGTGACCCCAGCTGCCCTGTGGGGATGTACTGGGCAGGCTTGGCTTCGGGCCAAGATCCAGACACCACCTCCCTACCCCTCAGTGGTCAGGGAAGCTGGCTGGGGGGAAGTTGGGTGTCAAGGGAGCAAGGGTCTGCCCATCCCTGGGCGGGGGCTGGGTGGGCTAGGGAAAATAGCTTTCCTTTCCTTCCTGGTGAAGGAAAAAGAGGCCACTTTAACCCAGGGAATGTGTGTGCTGGTCCCGTTCCCACTATGCTCTGCAGCTTACGTGTGGGGGAGGGTCCAGACCATTTGGGGTCAGGCAGTGTCTCTAGGGGCCAGGGACAGTCTGTGCCCTTGCTTGGGTCTTGGGTAGGGGTGGAAACCGTCTGGGAGTTGGGGGCCCTCCTGGGGCCTCATCAGTGTAGTGGTCAGTCCTGGGGGAAGTCCAGTGTTGGCGGTCGGGGGTGGGAGCAGAATGGGGACACAGCCCCACCTCAGAAGCCTGGTCTGTGCGGGGCCTTCTGGACCCCTGAGCTCCACCACGGGGAGTTAAGGGGGACAGCAGTGGAAGCTGGGCTTCCTGGAAGAGGTAGATGGAGTGCCACAGGCAGCCCAGGGCACAAAGGGTGCAGGCCACAGGCAGCTGTGGTTTGGGCAGCCCCGGGCTGCCCCTGCTCACTGGGCACGAGCTGATGAATGCCACGGAACACGGCCCAAAGCCCAGGTGTAAAGCTCCTCCCGCCCTTGAGCGGCTGAGCTGCTGATTCATGGCCGGAGGGCGGGGCAGAGGGCCCTGGCGATCCTGTTACCCACCAGCCCAGTGGGCTCCCAGGGTGCACCCACATCCCTCCTCAGACCCAGGTTTCTGGACTGCGGAGGGGGTGTCAGGGTGGGGCTTTGCCCACCAGAGCATCTGGTCTAGGATGGGGCCAGACCTATGGGAGGATAACGCCCACACAGAGAGGTCAGGTTGAGGGCCGCGGCAGGTCCCCATCCCTGCTGGAGACAGTGCAGCCACCCTCAGCCTGGGTTTTGCAGGAGAGGACAGGCAGGGATGGGACGGGCAGGGGCACCGGCACTTGCAACACTTGCAGCAGGCACCCCACAGATTGGGGGAGCAGGGAGAGGAGTTGGGTGTCCAAAAGGGCCCTCGGGGACCTATGGGACTGAGAGGCCCGGGGTCAGTGGCCACAGGGGTGGGGTTGGGGATGCAGCCTGAGGAGTTTGGGAGACAGACCCCTCCGTGTAGAAAGAGGGATACAGGCAGGACAGGTGCAGATGGACCCCCCATTCGGGGATGGATGGATCAGGCGCAGAGGTAGGGCATCCTTGGGGGTGGCGTGGGAAGTTGACTCTAGGTACACAGGGCTCAGCCCAACTAGGGACTGCCGATAGAAGTCAGCGCTCAGGCTGTCAAGGATGGGCCCTGCGCCCTGGAACCATGGGCAGTCAGGACTGGAGCCCAGGGTCTCAGCAGGAGCTCCCCCCTCCCCCGGCTCCACCCCCAGATTGGGGAAGTTCAGCCAAAGGGGAGAGGCTGACAGGGGTATCTCCGCGCCGCGTCCGGCCCTAGGTCGGGACAAAGCTGCCGGGCGGCGCTCCCCTCCCCCTGCGCTTCCCCCCAGGCTCCGGCCCTCCCCCGGCGGCCGCCGCCTCGGGTTTCCGGAGGGGCCGGAGGGCGGGCGAGGGCGTCACGTGCGCGCCGCCCGCGGGCCGGTTGGTCCCCGGGCGGGGGAGGGGCCGTGCGCTGCCTGGGTCGGGGTCGGGCCAGGGTCGGCACCTGGGACATCCCCGAGGGAAGGGCCGGGAGCAGGAGCGTCCCAGCGGTGGGCGGGCGAGCAGCGCGGAGTCGGCCCGGGGCGCACGCCGAGGAAGTCCCGCCGATCCCGGGTCCCCGGTCCGGGGGCACAGCCCGCGGGCTCTGCGGGGTGGGCGGCTCCCGGGCCTGCCATGAGCTCTCCACCGCCTGCCCGCAGTGGCTTTTACCGCCAGGAGGTGACCAAGACGGCCTGGGAGGTGCGCGCCGTGTACCGGGACCTGCAGCCCGTGGGCTCGGGCGCCTATGGCGCGGTGTGGTGAGCGCGGGCGGGGCGGCCGGCGGGGCGGGCGGGGCCTGCGCGGGGTGCCCGGCCTTCCCGCTAAGCGGTCCGCCCCGCAGCTCGGCCGTGGACAGCCGCACCGGCGCTAAGGTGGCCATCAAGAAGCTGTATCGGCCCTTCCAGTCCGAGCTGTTCGCCAAGCGCGCCTACCGCGAGCTGCGCCTGCTCAAGCACATGCGCCACGAGAACGTGAGTCGCGCGACCCCGCTCCGGGAAGGCGCCCCGGCCTCGGCTCGGTTCGGCTGGGCTGGGTTCCTCCACCTGGCAACCCCTTCCCCAGGCAACCTGCTGTGGGGCGGGGCGGGGGTCGGGCCGTGGGTCCCCAGGGGAGAAGGAGAGCAAGGTCCGTCTCCTTTTGGGAGACGACTCCCCCAAGGGCCATTCCCCTTCCTCTGCCAGGCCCGGGAAAGAGCCCCTTGACTTGGCGCCTCAGCCAGGCCCTGGTCAGGGGACACGACTTGGCCAGGCCCAGGGGATCCTCCAGGTCTCACGCCAAACCCTGCCCCCAGCCAGGAAGCCCGCGGTGAGAGGATGCTCCCGGCAGGAGGGTTTTCCTGGAAGGGGCACCTTCTCTTTCCCATTCGGGCCCCTCTCCAGCCCCTCTGTGGAGCCCACTTTGTTGCTGTCCATCTCCCGAGTCTTCCGACCCGGTGGAGGGGGAGGAGGGGGGCGCCAGAACGTAGGGAGTATGGTGAACCCTCTGGAGCCCCTGGGGGTGAGTGAAGGGTTCAGGGAGCTGCTGTCTGGGGGGCACTGGGCGTGGTGGTCATCTCACAGACACCCTCCCTTTCGTTTTGGGGACCCATCCTTTCCAGTCCTGCCTGTGAGATGCCATGCACAGCTGCCCTGGGCCTCTCCCACCGGGTGGCTGGCTGCTAAGAGCCTGACTTCTCTGCCAGGGGCCCTCTGGTTTCTGGACACAGTCCCACTTGTCCACTGCCCCCCACATCACTCCTGCCCTGCCCCTGGTCTGGGCCCAGCCTGAAGGCAGGTGGTCTGGGCGCCCCGACCCTAGCTCCAGGGTGAGATGCTCTGGACCCTCCTGGGTCATCCGAGCCACCACTGCCCTGGGAGAATGAGTCCCTGCGTCCACCAGCAAACCACCCGCCCCCTGGTTCCTGGCCACCGCCACTCTCTCAGCCCCTTGGGTGGGTCCTTTTCTCTGAGGCTTCCCATAGCCCACCCTGACCCCAGCTCACCACCCTGGGCCCTGTGAAATCTGTTTGCGGTGGACACCAACCTTGCCCCCACCTCGACACCCCCGTCACACCCAGCCCTGCCCCCACCTTGCCACCACCGCACTCCCCCATCCCGCCTGTCACACCAAGACCTTGCCCCAGGACTGTAGCCTTCCCCTCGGCCCCCTGCCCCCACCCACCCACTCACTCACCTGCTCGGGCCTTGCCCCATCCAGCCAAGCGCTCTGGGGCTTTTCTTTCTTCTTTTTTTTTTTTTGAGATGGAGTTTCGCTCTTGTTGCCCAGGCTGGAGTGCAATGGCATGATCTCGGCTCACCACAACCTTTGCCTCCTGGGTTCAAGTGATTCTCCTGCCTCAGCCTCCTGAGTAGCTGGGATTACAGGTCCATGCCACCATGCCTGGCTAATGTTTTGTATTTTTAGTAGAGACGGTGTTTCATTATGTTGGGCAGACTGGTCTCAAACCCCTGACCTCGAGTGATCCGCCTGCCTTGGCCTCCCAAAGTGCTGGGATTACAGGCCTGAACCACTGCGCCTGTCCACTGGGGCTTCTCTTTTTTGAGATGGGGTCTCCCTCTGTCGCCCAGGCTGGAGTGCAATGGCGCGATCTGCGACCTCCACCTCCTGGGTTCACACAATTCTCCTGCCTCAGCCTCTCTAGTAGCTGTGACTCTAGGCACCCACCACCACACCCGGCTAACTTTTTGTATTTTTAGTAGAGACGGGGTTTCACTATGTTGGCCAGGCTGGTCTTGAACTCCTGACCTCGTGATCCACCTGCCTTCGCCTCCCAAATTGCTGGGAGTGCAGCCGTGACCCACTGCGCTGGGCTCCACCAAGGCTTTTCTTTAGCCACCGCCCTGCTGTCCTGGGGTCCCCACTGTGCCTGGGGGTCCACCCCCTGGGCTCCCGGCCTGCAGCTGAGGCTCCTTCCCTGGAACCCCATCTTCCTGGAAGACTGAAGCTCTGTGAGGCCACATGCCTTGCTCAGCGGGGGAGGAGGCTCTGCCACAGGGCCCAGTCCTGCCATCCCCATGCCACCTCCCTCTCCAGGCCAGCCCCATACCACAGAGGCCAAGCCAAGTCCTATGGCTCCTAGCCCACAGGACCCTGCTTTCCATCTTCTGCCAAAGCGCTCTCCCGGGCACCCTCCAGCTGTTGTGTCCACAGACCCCGCTGCTCCCAGGCCTCCCTGGACGGGCCTCTGTTCCTTCTCCTCCTCCCTCCACATTCTTGCCCACGGCTCTGGCAGAGCTGTCCTTCCAGTTTAGGTCCATTCTTGCTTCACTCTGGCCAGTCCCTACACCACGGCCAGCAGGACGCATTTAGCATCACACCCATTTAAATCCTTCCCTGTCTCTTGAGATCAAAGCCAAACTTTCACCTGGTGTGTGCTGCCCTGCCGGCTTCCTCTGGCCTCTCCTCAGCCCCTCCCTGGCCTGGGCCTTGGCCACCTGGCCTCCCTCCCTGTGTTCCTCAAACTCTCCAAGTGTTCTCCCTCTTGCCTTGACTACTCTGCATGTGCCCTCTGCCGGGTGTCCCGCAGCCCACATGTCTACCTGCCCCTCCATCCTTGGCTGTGCAGAACTTCTCCAGGCCTCCCTGGGACCCTGTCACCCCAAAATGCTGAGGCAGCAGTTATCACATGACCTGTCCACGGTCCATCTCCCCAACCAGGGGTGCTGTGGGGACCAAGTCTGGCGGGTCATGGTGCTGTCCACCTGGGCCTCACCAGCAGAGGCCTGGCCTCTCCTCACAGCGCTATCCCTTCCCTGGGTGTGGGTCTGCTTGGCTGGGGAGAAGAGGGGAGAAAGGGCCAAGTGGCAGGAGCCCTTTGGACGGTTCAGAGCCAGCCCAGACTCCGGGTTGCCCTTCCCCCAGAAGATCCCGGCTGTCACCATCCAAAAATAACGTGTCTGTGGGTATGTGTGCCAGGGCTGGGCCACGCTGCCAGTGGGCAGAGCCAGGCCCTTTGGACAGTGGGGCATGACGACAGCTGCAGAGGGGGTTTCCTGCCCAGAGGGCTGTGCCACTCTTGGGGGTGCCCCCGCCCGTGTCCTCCGTTGCACTCTCAACTCTACCTGGGCCCCCAGGTGATTGGGCTGCTGGACGTATTCACTCCTGACGAGACCCTGGATGACTTCACAGACTTGTGAGTGCCGACCTGGGCTGGCTGCTGGGCACGAGGGGTGGTGGGCAGCTCTGGCACTGGCTTCAGGTTCCAGGTTGGCATGGGGTTCTCTTCCTGTAGCCTGAGTGGGGGATGCACACTGCCAACCCCCCCCCATACTACTCTGCCCCACACCCTCCCCCACATGGTCCTGGGACCCACAGCTGGGCAGAGCTGGGGCTGCTGCCTCCCTTCACGCCTGGCACCTGGGCTCTCCGGCACCGGAGGTGTGAACCTTGGACCTGACCATTTGTTAACAGGAAGGTCCCGTGCTCGGGACCCTGGCACCAAGTGTGTGGCCGGTAACTGGAGCTGCTGACCTTTCCCAGCAGGTGGGGGAGAAGCGGTAGGGAGGACCCACCCTGCCCTTGCCCTGCAGCCGACCACCCCGGGACTCACACCTTGTCGGCCAAGAGTGAAGGGCCAGGCTGAGGAAGACCTGGAGAGGGTAGCAGGTGCCTCCCGCCTGACTTGCAGAGGTCAAGGACCCACGCTGGCCTCAGTGGCCTCTGGGGAGGTGCTAAATACCATTCTCCTGTGTCCGTCTCCACCGGCTCAGCCAGCCCCTCTGACCCAGATGCCTTGCCATGCCTCCATCGCCCCCAGGCACCTCCCTCATCTCTGGCACAAAGTTCCGAAGTTGAAACCTGACTGCCTCCCTCCCCTGCCTGTGAAGACTCGAGCCCTGCTGCCTCCTCCACGCAGCCTCAGCTCCCAGCCTGGCACGCAGGGCGCTTTAGCAGAGGGTTCAAAAACCCCAAAGGGAGGCCGGGCGCGGTGGCTCAAGCCTGTAATCCCAGCACTTTGGGAGGCTGAGACGGGCGGATCACAAGGTCAGGAGATCGAGACCATCCTGGCTAACACGGTGAAACCCCGTCTCTACTAAAAAATACAAAAGACTAGCCGGGCGAGGTGGCGGGCACCTGTAGTCCCAGGCTGAGGCTGAGGCAGGAGAATGGCATGAACCCGGGAGGCGGAGCTTGCAGTGAGCTGAGATCCGGCCACTGCACTCCAGCCTGGGGGACAGAGCAAGACTCCGTCTCAAAAAAAACAAAAACAAAAACCCCAAAGGGCAGCCTCCTGCCTGTCTGACAGTCCTCAGGGTGGGAGGGAGGTGTGAGCGTTGCTGGCAGTGACAGTTGGGGCAGGATGGAGCCTGGCACTGCAAGGTGGGGTTGTGAGGATGCCGAGGCCAGTGGGGACGGGTGCTGCAGGGTGACCTTCCCGGGGGCACCTGCTGGATCCCGGATGGGTCTGAGCCTGGGCCTGCTGGGTAGGCCTCTGGGATGCAGAGGCTGGCTCTGCCCACTGACGGTGCTCCGGCCCCTCCCACAGTTACCTGGTGATGCCATTCATGGGCACCGACCTGGGCAAGCTCATGAAACATGAGAAGCTGGGCGAGGACCGGATCCAGTTCCTCGTGTACCAGATGCTGAAGGGGCTGAGGGTATGGCCCCAGGGGAGGCTGCAGGGAGGCAGGCAGGGCCTCGGGGCTGGGCAGAGGAGGGCCCTGTGGCTCTGAGGCCCTGGTGCGCTGAAACCTGCCGAATCTTCTGTCCCCGCAGTATATCCATGCTGCCGGCATCATCCACAGAGTGAGTCCTGGTGCAGGAGCCACCCATCAGCCCTCCCCCAGCGCAATCCCCCGCCTCCACGTCCTACCTGTGAGGGTCTGACAGGGTCTAGGGGGGCTGACGGGGTCTGGGGGGGCTGAGCCACGCCTCACGCACAGCCCCTTGTGGGAGCCTGTCTGGATGCCCAGGTACCTGGGTCTGTCCTTGAAGGGCTGCAGAGAGCAAGGGGGCCAGGTCTGGTGGCCCCATCTTTAGGTGCCACCCAGGCTCTTGGCTGTGCCCATGCTCGGGAGGGTGGGGCACAGTGGCCACCTTTCCTCTGTCCCCAGGACCTGAAGCCTGGCAACCTGGCTGTGAACGAAGACTGTGAGCTGAAGGTGTGTGCCGCCTGGCAGGGGCCCCTCCGGATCTGCCCACCAATCCACCTGTCAGGCCTGGGCAGGGGGCCAAGGCCCCAGGCTCTGGGCAGTGGCTGAGGAGCTGGTGGGTGGGTGAGCCCCAGGAGGCAGTGGTGTGCCACATGCCATACCTGCAGCGGGTGAGGGTGGGAGGTGCCCCCAGGCCCCTGCCTGGTCCAGGACAGGGCTGAGGCCTTGGCGGGCAGCAGGTGACAGCAGGGAGAGGGGAGCCCCAGGGCCCCTGCTCCATCCCAAGGGCAGCTGGGCTCGGTGCACTGGCCAAATGGAGGAGCTCACACAGTTTGGGGTCCGAGGGCTTGGCCTCAAGTCCTCAAAGGTTGTCAGGAGGCCCCAGCTCGGGGCTTCGAGTCCAACCCCCCCGGGGTCTCCTGGACCATGGGTGGCCTGTTGGCTCCTTGGGAGTCCCCTAGAACCCACCTCCCTGATTCTTCCCGCAGATCCTGGACTTTGGCCTGGCCAGGCAGGCAGATAGCGAGATGACTGGCTATGTGGTGACCCGGTGGTACCGGGCACCCGAGGTCATCTTGAATTGGATGCGCTACACGCAGACGGGTGAGAAGCTGCCTAGAGATTTGGGCCTCTCGGGCTGCACCATCTGCTTCTCTACTTCTTCACGGAGAGCCCTGTGGTGGCTGCTCCCCAGGGAGGCTGTTGAGCTGGGGTGGGAGCCGGGGGGGTTGGGCTATGTCTGTGTTTCCTCCCTCCCCATCTCATCCCGTCCCCCCGCCCACGGGGCTGACCATGGCTTTTATCTCAGTGGACATCTGGTCTGTGGGGTGCATCATGGCGGAGATGATCACAGGCAAGACGCTGTTTAAGGGCAGCGACCGTATCCTCCAGCAGCAGGGCAGCACCAGGGGCAGGTGGGGATGGCTCCTGCCCAGGTGGGGGGTTCTAGGGGGGTGGGGATGGCTCCTGCCCAGGTGGGGGGTTCGGGGGGGGGGGGGGATGGCTCCTGCCTAGGTGGGGGCAGTGAGGGCCCTGATCTCTGGCCCCCCGAGCTGTGCTCCTGACCTCAGTGCAGACCTGGACCAGCTGAAGGAGATCATGAAAGTGACAGGGACGCCTCCAGCTGAGTTTGTGCAGCGGCTGCAGAGTGATGAGGTCAGTGGTGAGTGGGGAGCTGGGTGGGGGTGGGGGCGGACCCGGGCCTCGATGTTTGCCCCTCACCCTTTCTTTCCACACAGGCCAAGAACTACATGAAGGGCCTCCCTGAGTTGGAGAAGAAGGATTTTGCCTCCATCCTGACCAATGCAAGCCCTCTGGGTAGGGCTGGCTACTGTGGGGGCCACCAGGTGCTGGAGTGTGGGGCCTCCCGCAGTCTGGCCTGACACACCTTCCCCCGCAGCTGTGAACCTCCTGGAGAAGATGCTGGTGCTGGATGCGGAGCAGCGGGTGACGGCAGCCGAGGCACTGGCCCATCCCTACTTCGAGTCCCTGCACGACACAGAAGATGAGCCCCAGGTCCAGAAGTATGACGACTCCTTTGATGACGTGGACCGCACGCTGGATGAATGGAAGCGTGAGCTGGGGGCTCCAGGCAGGGCCTGTGTGGACCCGAGCTGGGGGCTCTGGGCAGGGCCTGTGTTGACCCATAAGTGGGGGGATCCTGGCAGGGCCTGTGTGGACCCGAGTAGGAGGCTCCAGGCAGGGCCTGTGTGGACCTGTGAGTGGGGGGCTCTGGGCAGGGCCTGTGTGGACCCTGTGGGCCCTGTGCCGGTGGCCAGGCTCAGAGTCCTAGATCCCTGTCCCTGGGATGCAGGTCAGGTGAGGAGAATGGGAGGTCAGAGGGCAGCATGGGGCCGTGTGGCCTGGTGGAAATGACCTCTGGCTGGAGCTGAAAGATGAAAGGAGGGTGTTCCTGGCAGGCTCAGCACAGAGGCTGGCACAGAAGGAGCCAGGAATGGTGAAGGGCAGCTGTGAGTCAGGGCAGCAGGGCCCACTTAGCCCCTCCTGGCCCCCAGACCTGCTGCCCTTCCGCCATGTCCAGGCCAGAGACCCGGGCCACCGTGCCACCCTCACCATGTCCATTTGTCCCTAAGTCCTCTCTCCTCACATCTCGTGAATCTGTCCTTGCCTCTCCTTGCCCCAGGTTTTTGTTTTGTTTTGTTTTGTTTTGAGACAGTCTCGCTCTATTGCTCAGGCTGGAGTGCAGTGGCGTGATCTCGGCTCACTGCAAGCTCCACCTCCCAGGTTCACGCCATTCTCCTGCCTTAGCCTCCCGAGTAGCTGGGACTACAGGTGCCCGCCACCACACTCTGCTAACTTTTTGTAATTTTAGTAGAGACAGGGTTTCACCATGTTAGCCAGGATGGTCTTGATCTCCTGACCCCATGATCCGTCCACGTCGGCCTCTCAAAGTGCTGGGATTATAGGCGTGAGCCACTGCGCCCGGCCCTCTCTTTGGTCCATTTTAGGATCCTTCCCATCTGGACAAGACATGTATGTCTTATATACCCAAGATAGTCCCCAGGGCCTCACCTGTGTCCCCCAGCCCCCCTGAGCAGTCCAGACCCCAACCCTAACTACTAGGGTCCATCATCCCCTATACCAGGGGCTATCCCCTCATCTTGGAGGGCTGGCCAAGGCCTGTGCAGCCTCAGGCTGAACTCAGGGAAGCCTCCCCAGCTCCCACAGCTATGCTGTGGCCCGAAGCTATGCTGGACCTGGCTTCATTTCTGCTCCAGAATGGCAGGCTGTGTCTTCTTCATGGCTGCATGACCAACCTGTGGTGGGGGTGCCCGGGGACAGCAGGTGGACACTGGGAGCAGTGCCGTGTTTCAGGCCCTGTCCTGGCTCTGCTTTGGGCGCAGGGCCTTGGTCCTCCACACTGGCTGGGTGGGGCTGGATGGACTGAGATTCTTCACCTGTACTCCTTAAGGCCACGGGTCCCTGGGTGCCTGCAGCAGGGCCTCCACCCTTCCTGTGTGTGCTTAGTTGTGTGCTTATGAGTTTGGCTTTGATTAAAGGTTTCTCCTGCTAAAAAAAAACTTGAAAACCATGGGCCATAGGATCCTCTCTGTAGTCCCCATGCACACAACTGTAGCTGGGGCCTCAGCTCTTAGGACAGACCGTGGTGGACACGTGGCCAAGCCCTGGCCACCTCCCCTTTCCCTGGAAAATCCGGATCTAGAGCAATGGCCTCTTCACACAAACATTCTCTCAGTGGTTTGGACCACATTAGGATTAGAGAAGGGCCCCACGAGGCACCGCCAGGCGTGTCTGTGAGTGACACCCCAGGATGGAAGGCAAAGGCTGACCCTGGTTTCTGTCGTGCCCCCCGCCCCTGCCAGGTGTGACTTACAAAGAGGTGCTCAGCTTCAAGCCTCCCCGGCAGATGGGAGCCAGGGTCTCCAAGGAGACGGCTCTGTGAAGATCTCTGAGCTCCAGGGTGGCAGTGAGGACCACCTTCACCTTCCACCTGAGAGGGGACCCTCGTTGCCACCTTGACCTTGGCTGGGGCTTGCATCCCAAGGCATCCGTTGGAGCAGACCCCTGGGTTCCATGGACCCTCCTCCCCATGGCCATGCCTCTGCTTTCGGGCGCCCATCCTGGAGGAGCACCTGAACTTTCTGGACAGGACCTCTGGCCGACCTGGGGATGGCCTCTGATGCCTGGAGCCGGGGCCCCCTTGCCCGGTGCCCTCAGAAACCTCGGAGCTGGTGGGGCTCCAGGTCAGGCCCTGGCCTCTGAGCCCTGCCTGCTCTGGGCCATGCGGAGGAAGAACAGAGGGTGGGCGCAGGGCACCAACTCAGGGACATCCCTTCTCCTGGGTGACGTCAGTGGACCTTCCTGCACCCCCTGCCTGGAATGTAAATCAGCTGTGTGGCGCCCATGTGGCTGGAACGAAATAGACCCTTTTGTAGCTCCCTGCTCTGGCTGTGCGTCCTCATGCTGCGACCTGTCTTAAGGCCTCCAAGCCCTTGGCCTGCATGTAGAGGAGGCTGGCCTGATAGCTCAGACCCTCAGAGCCAGCTGGGGGGCCTGAGCATCCCATGTCTCCCAGGCCACAAAGCTGGTGCCCGCTTCCCCAGACCTGTGCCAGTGAGCTTCGAACCCCCACATTAGGGCTTGGCCCCCTCCCCTTTTACAGGGTGACCTTCTGCTAATGGCTTAGAGTTTAAGCCACTGTGTGTAGATCCTGAAGCCAGACCCAGGGGCAGGGCCTGATGGGGAGAAATGTTAGGATCTACCCTAGCTCTCAGCACCCTCCAAGGCCAGCAGGTCCCTGGGGGGAGGGGGCACGCTGAACACCTTGAGACACCTCTGGCCCCTGTGGTGGAGTGGTGAGCACAGAGGGCTGGGTTTTGTTCTTGATCAAACCTCTAGCCCCTACCTACTACCGTGCTCCAGTGGTATCTTCATGCCCAGGCCGCCCTCTGCAGGCCACTCGGTGTTTCCAAGGGTGGCGGCTGGACCACAGGCCACGGGCACCTCCAAACCTGTCCCAGGGCAGGGGGTTACAGTAGAGAGACCAGTGAGGGCAGGGCAGGCCAGGCGTCCTCCTCGGTGGACACTTCCACAGCTGGCCCAGCCAAATTGGACCTGATGAGCTGCCACGACAGACGGGCCTTCTGTGCCAGCGACCCTCATGCCTCTCCAGGGTATCTGGGCATGGGGGACATGATCCCCATCGGCTCGGGAGCCGCGCTGACTTGTGTCATGGCTGCTGTCCACACGGGGCCCAGCTTCCTGCCATAGATGGCCTGAGGAATGGGGGCCCCAAAACTGACCCAACTAAACGTGAGCTCCAGCGGGGACAGGGTGGCCCCTGGGCTCCAGGGGGGCTCCGGTCTCCTCTTGGGGCACCTTGCTCCGTGGCTGTGCCCGTGCCTCCTGCCTTCCTCACTTCCTCTGTTTCCCGCCACGCTACCGCAACTCCGGTCCAGCGTCCCCGCCTCCACCGACCTTGACTCTGCTCTTAGGCCAGGGATCTTCTCGGAGCTAGAACCGGACTCGCCCTCCTTAAACCTCCAGGGCGGTGCTGCGCCTGGATGCAACCACGACCACCGCCCTGAGCCGGCCGCAGCGCCACCCGCCTCCCCGCGGGCTTCTCCCGCCTCGTGGCCTTTGCCTGCGGACCCCTCGCCCCGCTCGCCCTTCACCCCGGCTCTTCCTGCGCCCGGGCCGGGTGGCCTTGGGGCTGCGCTGGACCCTGACCCGGGAGCTGGAGCAGAACGGGGCTCGCCTGGGCAGGCTCAGCCACAGGCTTTCGGGTGGGGCTGCGGCAACCGACAGCGCAGGGCCTGGGGACCCCGCCCCTCTAGGAGGGGATCGGGGCGGGGCCGAGGGGGAGGCGGAGCAGCAGCGCAGCTCGGAGGGCTGGCGGCTCCGGGCGCTGAGGCTTCCGCGCCTGCTGGTTCCTCGCTCCGGGGCGGGGCTCGCGATAGCGAGCGGGAGCAGGGCGTGGGGCGGGACCCGGGTCGGAGGCGCGGAAGCCGGAAGCCATGCGCGGGGAGCCTCCCCCTTCGACTGCAGCCTCGCTCGGCGCCTTCTGCACGCCTGGAATCCCGGAGCCTGCCTAGTTCTGTGCGCTCCCGCCCAGGCCGGTGCCCGCCGCCCGCCTGCGCCCCAGGCAGGTCCCAGGCCTCCGGCTGCTCCCGGCCGAAGGTGGGGACTGGCAGTGGCAGGCACCGCTAGCGAGGGCGTTTGGGGACCCAGGCTGACCACGGCGCAGCCATGGGGACCGCGCTTGTGTACCATGAAGACATGACGGCCACCCGGCTGCTCTGGGACGAGTAAGTGGGACCTGGCCGAGGTGGGGTGCGGGGAGGGACCTCTGGACTGAGCTCTTCTTCTGCCCCAGCCCCGAGTGCGAGATTGAGCGCCCTGAGCGCCTGACCGCAACCCTGGACCGCCTGCGGCAGCGCGGCCTGGAACAGAGGTGTCTGCGGTTGTCAGCCCGCGAGGCCTCGAAAGAGGAGCTGGGCCTGGTGCACAGGTCAGGACAGGGGCAGCCCCCATGATATGGGGGCAGGCAACCCATCTAGAAACCTGGGAACCTGGGCCTGCCAGCCTTGAAGACAGATCCTCTCCCTAGGCACCTTGGGTGGGCTCACAGGCTTGAGGAAGTGACAGGGTGGCCACTCCCACCACAAATCCCAGCTCCCCGCTCCCGCCCCCGTGCTCCTGCTGGTGACCCTGCCTCTCCTGCCTGCCCATCTGCATGCAGCCCAGAGTATGTGTCTCTGGTCAGGAAGACCCAGGTCCTAGGCGAGGAGGAGCTGCAAGCACTGTCCGGACAGTTCGACGCCATCTACTTCCACCCGGTGCGTGTCCCCGGACACACTCACCTGTGCAGACACATGCACGCGCCTCTGCACGTTCACAGTCATGGCTGCTGATCCCAGCCAGCGTCCCCTGGTCCGTGCACGTGACATTGTCCAGCACACCTGCCTGCTGGCACTGCCAGAGCCTGGGACTGGCCTGTTGTGCTCAGCAGCTGGTGCCTTGCAGCCTGACACAAGTGTGGGCATGGCCTGCAAAGGGCAGCAGGGAAGGCGGGGGGCTCATCTGTGCCCCTGTGCCCACAGAGTACCTTTCACTGTGCACGCCTGGCCGCAGGGGCTGGACTGCAGCTGGTGGATGCTGTGCTCACGGGAGCTGTGCGAAACGGGCTTGCCCTGGTGAGGTGAGAGCTGCTGCTTCCCCTGGCTTCTCCTCTGTGGGTGGCCCTGTGAGGGGCCAGGGCAACCCTGACACAACCCAAATCCTCCTCTCACGCCATAGGCCCCCCGGGCACCACAGCCAGAGGGCAGCTGCCAACGGGTTCTGCGTGTTCAACAATGTGGCCATAGCAGCTGCACATGCCAAGCAGAAGCACGGGTTACACAGGTGTGTGCCAGGCTGGCTGCAGGGGTGTGGACCCAGGCGACACAGCAAGGGGCGGCACAGGTGGTGAGAGAACCCAGCCAGCATTTTCCCATCCCTGGCCGGGCTCCTGGAGGTGGGAGGCCCTGCCCCTCAGCCAGCAGCGCTGTCTGTGCCCAGGATCCTCATCGTGGACTGGGATGTGCACCATGGCCAGGGGATCCAGTATCTCTTTGAGGATGACCCCAGGTGAGCAAGGGTGCAAACAGCACCCTTTCCTGCAACCCCAGCCTGGCCTGGGAAAATCCAAGGGCAAGATACAGACGTGCTCGGGTCAGGGTTCTACGGGCAGCTGTAGAGCTGTTGAGGGTCCTGACCTCTGATCTCTGGCCCTGGCTGGCCGTTGGCAGCGTCCTTTACTTCTCCTGGCACCGCTATGAGCATGGGCGTTTCTGGCCTTTCCTTCGAGAGTCAGATGCAGACGCAGTGGGGCGGGGACAGGGCCTCGGCTTCACTGTCAACCTACCCTGGAACCAGGTGCCTACCCTCAAGCCCCAGGCCCCCACCCAGACCCCTCCCTCCAGCCCCCTCCCCTGCCCCACAGTTCAGGATGTAGCCTGGGATGTCCTGCCAGGTCGGGATGGGAAACGCTGACTACGTGGCTGCATTCCTGCACCTGCTGCTCCCACTGGCCTTTGAGGTGACTGCACGGAGGATTCCCCCAGGGCACCCGGGTGGGAGGGAACTTGGTGCCTAGAGTGCCACGGTGAAGGCAGGAGGAGGGTTATGAGCTGCCCCACTGCTGCCTGGCAGGGAAGAGTGCTCAGGAGGGGATGGGATGGGCCTGGCTTGCCCTCACCTGGGCTCCAGCCCCTCTCTCGACCCTCCCCACCCCGGCCTGACCTGTAGTTTGACCCTGAGCTGGTGCTGGTCTCAGCAGGATTTGACTCAGCCATCGGGGACCCTGAGGTGAGGGCCTTGCCTGGCCAGGGAGGGCTTCTAGGGTCCTGGAGCCCAGGTCCCCCATCACACATGGCTTTGGTTCCAGGGGCAAATGCAGGCCACACCAGAGTGCTTCGCCCACCTCACACATCTGCTGCAGGTGCTGGCCGGCGGCCGGGTCTGCGCCATGCTGGAGGTGACTGGGGACGGCACATAGGGAGGGTTCCTGGGCCAGAGGTCTGGGGGTCAGGAGCATGGGAGCCAGGTGCCCACATGGTACTTGGGAGGGGCATCCTGCCCGGGATAGAGCCAGGCAAGGGCCCTCCTGGTGACACCCCATCCCAGTGATATCTCTGCCCCAATCATGTCTCCACCCTCCTCCCAGGGCGGCTACCACCTGGAGTCACTGGCTGAGTCAGTGTGCATGACAGTACAGACGCTGCTGGGCGACCCGGCTCCACCCCTGTCAGGGCCCATGGTGCCATGTCAGAGGTTCGAGGGGAGGGAGGGCAGGCGGGGCTGGGGTGGGAGGCCAGGCGTCACCACTGTTGTGTCTCCCCCACAGTGCCCTGGAGTCCATCCAGAGTGCCCGTGCTGCCCAAGCCCCGTACTGGAAGAGCCTGCAGCTGCAAGGTCAGTGTGGCCAGGTGCTAGGCTGCAGGATCCCACCTCAGGCTCCGTGCAGTGGCTATGACTCTGAACTGTCCCTAGATGTGACCCCTGTGCTGACGAGCCCCAGCACCCACTCCCCAGAGGGGAGGCCTCCACCTCTGCTGCCTGGGGGTCCCATGTGTAAGGCAGCTGCACCTGCACCTGCACCGAGCTCCCTCCTGGACCAGCCGTGCCTCTGCCCTGCACCCTCTGTCCGCACCACTGTTGCCCTGACAGCGCCAGATATCACACTGGTCCTGCCCCCTGATGTCATCCAACAGGAAGGGTCAGCCCTGAGGGAGGAGACAGAAGCCTGGGCCAGGTGGGCAGGGCTGGCCTGGGGAGGATGGGGCCGCATCTACACGTGTGTGTGTGTGCCTGATGTGTCTGTGTGTCCCTCTGGTCTGTCCACCACAGGCCACATGAGTCCCTGGCCCGGAAGGAGGCCCTCACTGCACTTGGGAAGCTTCTGTACCTCTTAGATGGGATGCTGGATGGGCAGGTGGGAGCACCTGTGAGGGGTTGGGGGTGCTATGGATCTAGGGGCAGGGACCAGGACCTGCCAACGAGATGTGGCCTGTCCAGAGGAGGGCTGGGTGGTGCAGAACCACATGGATGTGAACGTTGCCTTGTGCCAAGAACGGTTCCCAGAACAGCCCCAGGGATGGGGATCACTAGCGTGTCTGACCTCAGCTTCAGTTAAATGCTCTTTGGCAGAGAGGTGAAGGGGGTGATTTAAAGTATACATTTAGGCAGGGTGCAATGGCTCATGCCTGTAATAACAGCAGTTTAGGGGGCCAAGGTGGGAAGAATGTTTGAGCTCAGGAGTTCAGGACCAGCCTAGAGAACATACAGAGACCCTGTCTCCACAAAAAATAAAAAAGTCAGCCAAGTGTGGTGGCGTGTGCCTGTAGTTCAGTTACTTAGGAGGCTGAGGCAGGAGAATCACTTAAGCCCAGTAGTTTGAGACTGCAGTGAGCTATAATTGCGCCACTGCACGCCAGCCTGGGTACAGAACAAGTCCCTGTCTCTCAAAAAAAAAAAAAAAAAAAAAAAAATTACAGACGTAAGCGTCTTATTTACAGAAGCGGAGTGATTGACCTGAGTGTAAGAAGTGTGGCTGACATTAGCCACAGAGATACACCGAATGGAGGGAACCGTGGATCTGTTTACCTGGCTCGGGAGTTGGCTGCTGCCTCATCCTCCACTGTTTATTCATCCCACAGGTGAACAGTGGCATTGCAGCCACTCCAGCCTCTGCTGCAGCAGCCACGCTGGATGTGGCTATTCAGAGAGGCCTGTCCCACGGAGCCCAGAGGTAAGCCTCACTTGACCATCTGGAGCCTCTGAGGGCAGGACCTGTGGGCACCCCTATCCTGGCTGGCAGAGAGAGCTGTGGGAATGGACTCTGGACAACAGGAACACCTGTCCTGAGGCCAGCTCTTCCTCCAGGCTGCTGTGTGTGGCCCTGGGACAGCTGGACCGGCCTCCAGACCTCGCCCATGACGGGTAGGACTCACGTCTTGCATCTGTCCAGCCATGGATGTGGATGGGCATGCGACGGATGTGTGCCTGGGCCCCAGGGTGACGGGTGGGTGGGGCACTGTGGTACTGAATGGAGCCTTCCTCAGCTGGGGTTTGGGAGAAGGGCTGCTACAGGCAATGCCAGGTGGGTCTCCAGCACAGAGGCTCAGCAGTCACAGCACCCCTGCCCATGGCCCTGTGATTGCTCTTCCACCTCTGCCTGTGGTCTGGGCTCAGGAGGGTGAGCAGGGCCTTACACTTATGCACATGTGTCCTGGAAGGAGGACTCTGTGGCTGAACATCGGGGGCAAGGAGGCAGCCGCCCTATCCATGTTCCAAGTCTCCACACCACTGCCAGTGGTGAGTGACCACGCCACGCGGCAAGGCAGGTGCTGGGGAGCCCATGGATGTGTGCCGCTGCTGCTTGCTGGCACGTCATGAGAGCAGGCCTCTGGTCCTTCCTGTCTCCCTGCTCCTGCTCCAGGGGCCCTGAGATTGAGGTTGGAGGGCCAGAGCCAGCAGGTGTCTGTAGATGAGGAGCTGGGCTCTGCTGTCCCCACAGATGACTGGTGGCTTCCTGAGCTGCATCTTGGGCTTGGTGCTGCCCCTGGCCTATGGCTTCCAGCCTGACCTGGTGCTGGTGGCGCTAGGGCCTGGCCATGGCCTGCAGGGCCCCCACGCTGCACTCCTGGCTGCCATGCTTCGGGGGCTGGCAGGGGGCCGAGTCCTGGCCCTCCTGGAGGAGGTAAGCTGGGCAGGGTGGAGGTGCTGTGGGGTGGGATGAGGGGAAGGACCAATGACTGCTTCCGTCTTCGCCCCTGGCCCAGGACTCCACACCCCAGCTAGCAGGGATCCTGGCCCGGGTGCTGCGTGGAGAGGCACCTCCTAGCCTAGGCCCTTCCTCTGTGGCCTCCCCGGAGGACGTCCAGGCTCTGATGTACCTGAGAGGGCAGCTGGAGCCTCAGTGGGCGATGCTGCAGGTGAGGCTGATTGCGGAGGCATGGCTCTGCCCTGGGGCCCGGCTCTGCCGCAGAGGTCGGTGGGGAGGGCAGGGCAGGGCAAGTGAGTGCTGAGAACCAGCTCCAGCGCAGGAAGCCAGCTGCGCGCCTCCTCCCGGCTCCTCCTCCTGTAGTGCCGTCCTCACCTGGTGGCTTGAAATCGGCCAAGGTGGGAGCATTTACGCCGCAGAAAGGACACCGCACGCCGGCGCCTCGCTGCCGCGATCCGGACCCCAAGCCCGCGGCTCCCACGACTCTGGGGCATGGAACCCCGCCCACTCCCACCCCCGTCCCCTCCCACCCGTGCTTCCCCCGCTCCACCCCTCACTTCTCCTCGCCGCGCCCCACCTATCGCGCCCTGGCCCGTCCCATCCTGGCCCGAGCCCATGCAACCCACCCTCGGTCCCGTTCCTGCCCCTGCGCCCCGCTGCCCTTCGCTCCCCGCCCTTGCGCCGTTAGTAAACATGGGTTAAACGAAACCCTGGTTCTGCCTCCTTTACGAACACGCTGGCCTCTCTCTCTCAACCGCGGTGCGGGACTCAAACCGGAAGTGCGCCGCGGCCCCGGCCTCACCTTTACGCGCAGCCGGCGTTCCCGTGACGTATTTCCGGCGCGCCCGCCCTAGCGCTTTTCACACTCGCGCTGCTGTGACGCGACGGAGGCGTGGGGAGCGGGAGCTGTGGGCTCTTTCCACAGGTGACGCCTAGAGAACGGGTGGACGTGCAGGCCGGAACCCGGGACCCACCCGGCTGCGCCCCCAGACTCTCCGCTGCCCACGAGTCTCGGAGTAGCACCTTCTCCTGGTCGTCTCCTCTCGTGGGGCCCGAAGAACGGGGCAAAGCCGAGTTCTTGCGCTGTACTGCGCGGGCGCGCGTTTCGTTCTTCGGGTTTGCCGTGGTTCTGTGACTCCCTAAAGGTTGAGGGCTACTGAATTGGAAGAAACACCAAGCTGGCTTCTGGGGGGGCTGCCGGGCGCCGGGCAGCGTGCTTGGGCTGGGGAGGGCAGGGCGTGTTTACTCTTGAGTAGAGCAACCGCAAAACCTCCTTTAAAAAATACCCGTTCTGAGCTTCGGCGTTGGAGAGGCCGCCTGTCATTCAGCCCCTTCAGACCCTCTCTCACTCCGTCTTCCGGAGCGTGAGTGAAGCCCGGGTGAGGTGTTTTCCCACACGCCGGGGGCCCGGAGCTGAGAAGGGGCATGGCCAGCATCACGCAGCTGTTCGACGACTTGTGTGAGGCCCTCCTGCCGGCTGCCAAGACTCACCTGGGCCAGCGCAGTGTGAACCGGAAGAGGGCAAAGCGGAGCCTCAAGAAGGTGGCCTACAATGCGCTTTTCACAAATCTTTTTCAAGATGAGACGCAACAGCTGCAGCCTGACATGTCAAAACTACCAGCGAGAAACAAGATCCTCATGTTGTCCTTTGACTTGAGAGTGGGTGGCCTGGGCCCCGAGGCCGACCGTCTGGAGGAGCTTGTGGAGGAGCTTGAAGCAGCCCCTTGCTGTCCGCTTTTGGAGGTGGGGTCTGTTTTGGACCTCCTGGTTCAGCTGGCAGGGAGCGGTCCCCCTCAACTTCTGCCGAGAAATCGAGACTACTTCCTTAACAACAAGCACGTGGGGAGAAACGTTCCGTATAGCGGCTATGATTGCGACCACCTGAGTGTGTTTGAGACGGACGTTCAGTCTCTGATCTCCAGAGAGGAGTGTTTGTGTCACAGCATGATCCAGGAAACACTTCAGGTTATGGAGGCTGCTCCAGGCACCGGCCTGCCCACCGTCGGGCTCTTCTCATTTGGTGACCCTTGTGGTGACAGGTTTGAGAGGGACACCCGGGTCTCGCTCTTCGGGGCCCTTGTGCACAGCCGCACTTACGACATGGACGTCCGACTGGGCCTGCCCCCCGTGCCAGACAACGCAGACCTCTCTGGGCTGGCCATTAAGGTAGAATGTTTGGTTTTTCCTCTTTTATCTTTCTTGGGGTTTGGAAAATGCTTTCTGTGACTTTCTTTTCTTTCTTTTTTTTTTTTTTTGAGACAGGGTCTCACTCTGTCACTCAGGCTGGAGTGCAGTGGCGTGATTTTGGTTCGCCGCAACCTCCACCTCCTGGGCTCAAGCAATTCTCGTACCTCAGCCTCCCGAGTAGCTGGAATTACAGTCACCTGCCTCCACGCCGGGCTAATTTTTTTTTTTTTTTGGAGATGGAGTCTCGCTCTATTGCCTAGGCTGGAGTGCAGTGGTGCGGTCTCGGCTCACTGTAACCTCCACCTCCCGGGGTCAAGTGGTTCTCCCACCTCAGCCTCCAGCGTAGCTGGGATTACAGGCGTGAACCACCATGCCCAACTAATTTGTGTATTTTTAGTAGAGACGGGGTTTCACCATGTTGGCCAGGCTGGTCTCCAACTCCTGACCTCAGTTGATCCACCCGCCTCGGCCTCCCAAAGTGCTGGAATTAAGGTCACTGCGCCTGGCCCAGTGACCTTCCTTTTATCATGGTAAAAGGGGGGATAGTCTGGTGGCTGCATTGTGGGGTGGGGCTACTGGAGTGGCCTTACTGGCGGCCACCCTGCTCTGCAAGGACAGTGCTGCCCACCTGCCGGCCAAAGCAACGTGCTGCTTTTCATTTTTACCTAACGGGGCATGTCATTAAGCCTCCTCTGCCTTCTAGAGCTGCCATTTAAATTTAAGTTAATTAAAATAAAAAATTCAGTTCCTCAGCCCCACAAGCCACATTTCAAGTGCTCAGTAGCCACATGTGGCAAAAGTGATCACGTTTTGTGATACTGCAATTGGATATGCTTTTGCTGTCTGTTGCCTGAGGCTTTCCCATGGTCCCGTGTAGCTCCTCATTTGAGTTTTGTATTTTATTGCTTTATCAATGTTGCCAAAAGGATACATTGTTACTAGTCATTCTATTCCTATGAGATAGCTAGACAATTTATAAATGTATATAACGCTACAGCAAATGTCTTGGTGTACAGCAGTTCTGTGTTTTGTTTTTGAGACAAGTCTCGCTCTATTGCCCAGGCTGGAGTGCGATGGTGTGGTCTCGGCTCACTGCAACCTCCATCTCCTGGGTTCAAGTGATTCTCCTGCCTCAGCCTCCTGAGTATCTGGGACTCCTGGCGTGTGCCACCACACCCAGCTAATTTTTGTATTTTTTTTGTATTTGTATTTTTTAAATTTGATTTGATTTTTTTTTTTTTGGAGACAGAGTCTCGCTCTGTCTCCCAGGCTGGAGTGCAGTGGCCGGATCTCAGCCCACTGCAAGCTCCGCCTCCCGGGTTTTATGCCATTCTCCTGCCTCAGCCTCCTGAGTAGCTGGGACTATAGGCGCCCGCCACCACGCCCGGCTAGTTTTTTGTATTTTTTAGTAGAGACAGGGTTTCACCGGGTTAGCCAGGATGGTCTCAATCTCCTGACCTTGTGATCCGCCCATCTCGGCCTCCCAAAGTGCTGGGATTACAGGCTTGAGCCACCGCGCCCAGCCTCTTTTTTTTTTTTTCTTCCGAGATGGAGTCTTGTGTAGGGACCAGCCCTACAGGGTCTGTGGGTTTTTCTCCCCATGTGTGGAGATGAGAGATTGTAGAAATAAAGGCAGAAGACAAAGAGGTAAAAGAAAAAACAGGTGGGCCCGGGGGACCACTACAACCAAGACACGGAGACCGGTGGTGGCCCCAAATGCCAGGCTGTGCTGTTATTTGTTGGATATAAGACAAGGGGGCAGAGTAAGGAGCGTGAGCCATCTCCAGCGATAGGTAATGTCATGTGGGTCACGTGTCCGTCCACTGGACAGGGGACCCTTCCCTGTTTGGCAGCCGAGGCGGAAAGAGAGAGAGAGGAGACAACTTACACCATTATTTCTGCATTTCAGAGACTTTTAGTACTTTCACTAAATCTGCTACTGCTATCTAGAAGGCAGAGCCAGGCATACAGGATGGAACATGAAAGTGGACCAGGAGCGTGACCACTGAAGCACAGCATCGCAGGGAGACATTTAGGTCTCTAGATAACTGCGGGCGGGCCTGACTGATATCTGGCCCTCCACAAGAGGTGCTGGAGCAGAGTCTTGTCTAACTCCCCGACCGGGAAAGGGAGACCCCCCCCACCGCCCCTGTCTGCTAAGTAGCGGGTGCTTTTCCTTGACATTGACGCTACCGCTAGGTAACCGTCTTCCCAGGCGCTGGCGTTACCACTAGACCAAAGGAGCCCTCTAGTGGCCCTGCCTGGGCATAACAGAGGGCTCTTAGTCTTCTGGTCACTTCTCACTGTGTCCCTTCAGCTTCTGTCTCTGTATGGCCTGGTTTCTCCTAAGTTATAGTTGTAGAGTGAGGATTATTATAATGTTGGGATAAAGAGTAATTGCTACAAACTAATGATTAATATTCATATATCATATCTATGATTTATATCTAGTATAACTGTTCCTCTTTTGGTTTTTTATTTTCTTTGAGACGGAGTCTCGTTCTTGCCCAGGCTGGAGTGCAGTGGCGCGATCTCGGCTCACTGCAAGCTCCACCTCCTGGGTTCACACCATTCTCCTGCCTCAGCTTCCTCAGCAGCTGGGACTACAGGCACGTACCACCACACTCGGGTAGCGTTTTGTATTTTTAGTAGAGACGGGGTTTCACCGTGGTCTTGATCTCCAGACCTCGTGATCCGCCCACCTCGGACTCCCAAAGTGCTGGGATTACAGGTGTGAGCCACCGCGCCCGGCCTACAATTCTGATTTTATATATATTTTTTATTATACTGGAACGGCTTGTGCCCTCGGTCTCTCGCCTCGGCACCTGGGTGGCTTGCTGCCCACAGTCTTGGTCTGTTGCCCAGACTGGAGTGCAGTGGCACAGTCTCGGCTCACTGCAACCTCTGCTTCCCGGGTTCAAGCAATTCTGCCTCAGCCTCCTGAGTAGCTGGGACTACAGGTGCCCGCCACCATGCCTGGCCAATTTTTATATTTTTGGTAGAGATGGGGTTTCACCATGCTGGCCAGGCTGGTCTCAAACTCCTGACCTCAGCTGATCCACCCGCCTCAGCCTCCCATAGTGCTGGGGTTACAGGTATGAGCCACCGTGCTTGGCCCCGGTGTACAGTAATTTTTTAATGTTTAGTGTGATTTTTTTATTCGGGGTTCCCCACAATGGAATTTCCAAGTCAGAGGCATCTCAAAAAGTTTCACTGTAAGTTCCACTGAGGCTTATGTGTTATATGGAATTGGAAATTGGCAGCCTTGACAAATTATTTTGTTTAATTCCTTAAATGGCTCATTGGGGGAAAACATTGTATGGTACACATGTGCTTGAGAAAAACAGAAGAAACATTTTGGCAGGTCTTTGCCTCTAACAAGTCAATGAAACTAGGTGGATAAAGTTCCTGGAATTCTCATTGCCCCTGGATGAAATGTGGACACAGGAATGAGTGGTGGTTTGCCCTTCCCTGTGTCTCCAGGTCCCACCGAGTGTGGATCAGTGGGAAGACGAAGGATTCCAGTCAGCGTCCAACCTGACTCCTGATTCTCAGTCTGAGCCCAGCGTGACCCCAGACGTGGACCTGTGGGAAGCTGCACTCACCTATGAGGCCAGCAAGCGGAGGTGCTGGGAGCGAGTCGGCTGGTGTGTGCCCTTCTTTGCCTTGGCATGCAGTGCCCTTACCCCTGCATGAGTGTGGCCTTGTGTGGGGTGTGGGGGGCGTTGTGTACGCAGGGTCCCAGGCAGTTGTGATGAGTTAGGACCCTAAGCTGGTGTCCCCCATTGACTGAGTCCTGGGAGTTAAGAGAGGTGCGGAGGGGAAATCACTAACAGCCTTTTTTTTTTTTTTTTGAGACGGAGTCTCGCTCTGTCACCAGACTGGAGTGCAGTGGCCGGATCTCAGCTCACTGCAAACTCCGCCTCCTGGGTTCGCGCCATTCTCCTGCCTCAGCTGCCCGAGTAGCTGGGACTACAGGCGCCCACCACCACGCCCGGCTAGTTTTTTGTGTTTTTTTAGTAGAGATGGGGTTTCACTGTGTTGGCCAGGATGGTCTCGATCTCCTGACCTCGTGATCCGCC